GCGGGCAGCGCGGGGCGCGGGCAGCACGGGGGAGCGGGGCAGGGCAGCAACGCGGGGCGCGGGCAGCGCGGGGCGCGGGCAGAGGGCTAGAATCCAAATTTTTTAAATTAAACGGGTTTTCGGGTTGACCCGGCGGCCGGGTCAACCTGAACCCGACCCGTTTTGAAATCGGGTCGTATCCGGGTCGGGTTTTCGTGTCGTGCCAAATATTGACACCCCTAACAATAAGAAAGCCATCATCCCAAACGAATCCTTATTGTTATTTACAACAGCAACAACAACAACAACAACAACAATATCAAGCTTTTATCCAACTACATGGGGTCAGCTACGTTAATCTTTTTCTCAGTTGTGTCATTTATCCCATTATTATTATATATACAAATATAAATCCAAACATTTTTAGAGTAATTATATATAAAATAGATCATACCATACTAGTATATTTTCCTCCAAGCATAGAAATAATTCCACGTATCATAATATATATAATTTATCATACCTTTCTTTATCCTTTGTCTTTTTCAAAAATGCAATGTTTATAGAAGTTTTTCTAGTCAATATTGTTTTTGTCAAAATTTCCATGATTAATAAAACATATAAATCAATTGCACTTACAAATGATACATTAACAAGTTGTTTAATATTGTCATGATGGTGAATATAGATTATTATCTCCTCCCCTTCGTATTGATCATAAAGCCTATTATAACCCTTAAAGCTCCATTCTTAACTTTGAATGGGCAATTTCAAAGCAATTAGAGTGTCAAGTGACAATAGGTTTTATCTTTACATATCTTATAACTTATGTAAGTGAAATTTTTATTCACCCTATCTTGAATATTGACCTTAATATTGCTAATCTCAGTGATTTTACAAGTAGAATTACTTGTATTAATTTTTCCATCATTGGCTTCCTTACATGAATCATCATTGTCTATTAGGGGATAAAAAAACTAGAATCTATTATCGAAGATTCATCATTAGGATCAATAACAAAATCCAATAGCCTAAAAATTTCATATATAACACAAATAATTAAAGCATCCCCAAACTTACATCATTTCTCTTTTACTTTCATTTTTACAGTTCCTTTTGACATTACAGGAAAAACTAGCATTAACAGTGGACTTTTCGGTGATATTATATCAGTCGGTAGTAGTTGTGTAACCGGCGGATATTTCGACGATCACTTACTGACGGTTTGTTTGGTGGATAAACCGCTGGAACATTACTAGTGAAAAATGCGTCAGAAATTATTCAGCAGAACTTCCAGTGGAAACCCCATTGGCTTACTTAAACACTACAAAGTTTTTCAGTGGAAAAGCCTCCAGAGACATCTCTAACAGAAAATCAGCCTGCAGTAATGCTGGAAAAGGCCCTATTTCCCCTCTAGGCATTGTTCGGGATTGTCTTGCTATTCATTTCATTTCCCGCTTTGGTCCTGGTCACGTGAGTCGCCTCTCGCTTAACACCACCTACGTAGCCTTTATACACCACCTTCATCGTCGTTGTTCTCCACCTCGGTCGTCGGAGCCGCCATAAGTTTTTTCTATCGTTAGCCCATATCTTTATGCTTTGATCATGGATGCTCTCGGTGGACATTTGCAAGAGAGTGTACCATGATGTATGCATTTTGTTGATAATATACTTCTTGTTGATAAGACTAGAGAAGGAGTTGATGGTGAAATAGATGTGGATACTATTAATAGAACTCAAGTTGGATGGTTAAAGTGGAGCAATGTTTTGACCTTATTATGTGATAGAAAATTCCCCTCAAATTTAGGGTAAGGTTCTATAAGATGGTGGTGAGACTGCAATGCTTTATGGTTTAAATTGTTGGTCATTAAAAGAGAAGCATAACATTAAGTTAAGTGTTTGCAGAGATGAGAATGCTCAAGAATGGCTTTACTCTTAGTGACAAGATACGAAATAAGCATATACATGAAAAGGTTGGAGAAGCTCCTATGGAAGATAAGATTAGAGAGAGTGAGAGAGTTGCTTAGATGGTTTGGTCGCATTTAGAAAACCCCACGTACTAGGATAAATGCTTTGATATTATTCTTAATTTGTTGACATAGATTTAAATGAGAATTAATACCATCCAATTCACAAATCAATTTGAATTAAATCTATTTTCCTTCGATATAAGTTACACAAATCTCTAATATCTTTATATTATGTGTAGGTTAAATTCCGGCAGTTAAACCGGCTGTCTAACCAGTGGTTAAACCAGCTGTCTAACCGCTGGTATTAACCGACGCTTTATCCAGTGGTTTTTAATAATACACCGTCGGAATTATTGGTGGTATATTAACCCCCGGGTAGGCCATCGATTTTCTGTTTTCATGGCACCTTTATCGGAGGCCAAGCCACCGGTGTTAAGTAATTTTTTTAATCGTGGCGTGCTATATATGTTTTGAATTTTGTGTAGGTATTGTGGAAATTTGAGTAAATAGAGGGGGCGCTGTCAAAATTTTTTTTAAATGCTACAGATTTTCGGTGGCTAACCGGTAGTTTGGCAGCCAGAAACAAACGCCGGTCAACCGGCGGTTAACCGGCTGCTGAACCGCCGGTAAAACTTGCATTTGAGATGGCCGATAAGACGCCGGTAATTAACCGGCGGTCACCGGTGCTATGACCGCCGGAAATTACTGGTTGTTTATGCTACCGGAAAGCCGTTGGTAAAATTAACTGTCAGAAATTGACCGCCGAAATTCGTTTCCTATGCGCTTTATACGGGCGGTTTATAAACGCCGAAAAACTGTCGGTAGTTTTCAAATCTGCCGAAAAATTAATGCTAAGCGCTGGTAATTGCCGATTTTCATGTAGTGGGTAGTGAAAAATGAACTAGTGCCTCAATGCTATAATATTAGATCTACTGTGGTGCTTGTTAATATGGCATGGTTACTGATTGCATTGGCATGTCTTTTCATAGAGGTGGTGCAGTTCTTCATGTTGGCAACTGCTTCACCGCGACCGTCCAAAGTTTGAGTGTTGCGATAGTAGATGAAAAGGGCAGAGAGGTCATCATCAACCTTGAGGATGAGCATGAGTCCATCCTCCCCTCAGAGTTGATAAAATGGTGAGGACTCCATCCACCCTCTGAGGAGGTGTTATGACCATAGGTAGTCAGTCTACTCCAAGTTGCTAGAGGAGATTATGAAATAAGTCCCGAAGGATGAACTTGTCTTTGTAGCTGTAAAATTAATAGGGAATATTTGGCAAAACTTCTTTGCCTTAGGTGAGGTCCATAAGAAAAGTGTACTCATCTGTTTATTAGTATCTTAAAGAGTATATGGCTTCATGGCTAGAGGTAGAGGGCCAGCTTATTAAGAAGAACATATTAATACACATCATAATATATTAATATAGTTAGGGTGTTGTAAGTGAACTAATGTAATGAATATTGAACTAGACTTTAATTAAAAAATTTATCGAGTAAAGGACTCAACAAACCTTAAAAAAAAAACTGAACTTGATAGGTTCTTAACAAGTTGTTTTGGCAAATTTAATGAATAATGTAGAATCCCAAGATATAAAAAGTTTCTTTTCACCAAGTGTTAAACTCGGTGGATTATATTAAAAAAATCTAATCATTATAAGCTTGTGGATCAATCAATGTTGATAATATAATGAGTACTCAATGCTTTGTGGTGAGAAAATCGAATTATGACTTATGGACCAATAAATGGAACTTGAATAGTATGAACTCAATAAGATGTCACTTTGGTGGGTCTCACCTTACACAAAAATTTCTAGTCTCCTTAAGGGTAACATCCTAAACTCGAAGGCTAGAATAGACACATGCACTACTCATTGTGGATCTTGTTGTAAAGTACAGAGTTGCCTCGTACGGCTAATTATCTTAATAGAAATCGTCATCACCTTTGATGTGTCTCACCTTATGTTAGACTTTCTGATCTCTATGTTAAATATGCTAAAAATATTCGGAAGTATGTGTGAAGAAGATATAAATTGTACCTCTTCATTCTTTATTCATAAGACTTACAAAGCTACCGGGAATGTTGCACACAATAAAAATAAATTACAATAATAGTTAAGACCCGTTATAGACTAAACATGACATGTGGCATTAATCAATAGGTGCCACCATGACTCTATATTCTTAATGCAACTCTTGATTTCATGGCAATTCCTATGGGCTAGTCTTCTGGATATGTTATGTATGGCAAATCTATGTTGGTGATTCCTTTGGATGCCAAGGCAAGTCCTTATAAGGCATATATTGTCCTCCAGGCTCAATAGCCAAGTCCTTTAAAGTTATGACAACTGTGAGATGAGGAATGTCCAAGTCTTGAGGGTTGTACTTATGAACTCTAAAGAGTTCATTTCCTATTGCTAGATAAAGGGATATTAAAGGACAAATTTGATGTGCATGCCTGGGACAAATTCTAAATTTGGTCGACTTTCACTACTGGCGAGTCCCTTATGCATATGATGTGACTATTTCGGGTGATTTGTCGTGCTAGAACATGTTAGATAGATGTGAAATATTTGTGTTAACACGTACGAGTATATAGTTTGAGTTGTTCTAAACTGGAAAACGTATATTTTGAATGATTCAATTTATAAGATTTTTTAAAGGATTTAATTTTATCTGAGCTTATTGAAGTCATGAAATTATCTTTAACATATAAATTAAAATAAAATTTTATTTCTTTATGTTGTATCATTAATGAGAGGCACCATATGGAGCAAGTTTTTGGAGAAAAGAATATTTAATTTCTTATTAATTATTTGACTTTTGAATATATATATATATATATATATATATAAAATAAATTAATATTAGTAATATTTTATAATAAATTTATAGATTTGAGTAATATATAAATAAATTTATATAAATGTTCAGATATAATATATGTAATTATATGTGAATTTTAAGTTATGTTTGTAAATCTCAATTTTAATAAAAGTATTTGATACGCAAATCAGCAAAATACCTTTTCAAAGTTAATAAATTATTTTTAATATATGAGTTAATAGAAAATTCCATTTATTTGTATTGTAATATATATGAGAGGTATCATAAGGAGCAGACAATTGGAGAGAAGAATAATGAACTTGTTATTCTTTTATAATTGCATGCAATACATTTGTCACAATCTTTAAGCTAAAAACAAAATATTTTCTATGAGTGGCATTATATATGTCCTCGTATTATTAGCTTAAGGATGAATGACATATAAAAAAAACATATTTATTTTAAATTATTACATATAGCTAGGAATGGCAATATTCAATATCTTACGATTTTGACTATGCATGAGGAAGTTGTGTGTGATTAGTCATTGACCACTTGGATTAATGAGCTATAATATGACTCTAGTCATCGAGCATAGGTCATAAGTGTCAGGTATCTTTATTCGATGCCATGTTGAGTTTTGTTGATGGAGTAGGTTGGCCATTTCTTTTTTCCTTTTTCCTAAGTATGTACCAAACTCATTACATCCTTCATAGTTCTTGAATACATCATTAGGTTTTCCTTAATCTTGAGCTTTGGAGTAATGGTGGTGAGGAAAGGAGTTTAAGTTGTTGGAAGGAAATTTCACACTACTCAATCTAAGTGAACTTCTTGACACTCCTCAACACTTTTAAGAGGGTTATCATCACTTACTCGACCTAGAGATGAAGCAATTAAGCACAATGCCTATGAGTCGTTGCACATTCATTAGATTTTTGGGTAATGACATACATATCCATGATTGTATCAACCTTATTTGACATCACTTTATTGCTCTAAGGCACTAAGGGAAATACATTTTAGAGAATTAATTCACATATTGTACCTTACCTTTTAAGTGTGATCAATGTCTCCCTCAGGTCCAATAAGTGATGCTTTGGTAACTTGTACTTTACTTGTAGATCATCCACATACACTCCTACATTGCTAGCTTCCTTTTGTTCTTTGAAGATCTGATCCACCTTCTTTCAATTGGTTGCCCAATCTTCTTAATGTAGAATGGCATGGCCTTATAGAAACAAAGGTCTTTAGAAGTGATGAAGGAAGTCTTTTTGTAGTTGTTGGGTCTCATCTTAATCTAATATTAACCTAAAAAAGAACCATGGTCATTGTAAATACAACATTTTATAAGAAGTGGCTACCCATCTTTTGAGAATGTTGAGTTGAGTTTAGTGAAATTGACGCTCATCCTCCATTTTCCTTTTAGCTTTCTACACCATGACCACATTAGAGATCTAGGCAAGGTAGTGCATCTCTTTTAATCAGTGGTTTCCCAATTTCTTATTGTATATGCCTAATAAATATTATACAAATTTTTTTTATTTTTAATTTAATCAGCCTAGCTTCTTATAATAACTCATATTTTATCCAGTCAAATAAAGGATTCATTATAAATCTAAATTATAAATCATCTTCGTCATGATATAGATATTAAAGTTCTTTAATTACACTAATTTTTTTCAGAATTTTTTGACATTGGTGTAAATCCTTAAGAAATTGATATTTGTTAGTACAAGTGAGGGTTTTATGACCGTCATATGTCCAAAAAAATCACTTTCTTCCTAAGTTGGCTGACAAAGAATGAAATAGAGAGATAAAAATAAGAAAGAAAAGATAGTAGGGAGAAAAGAAAACTTGAAATTTTTTCCAGTCGACCCTATTGGATATTTGCTTGTCTCATTGTAGGGAACCTTTATCCTATGTCTGATTTCAATAATTTAATATTTTTGGAATTTTTCTAATCAAATTTGTATTTTTATTACCAAAAAACGAGGATAATTTTATATTGGTAAAACTTTCATAACTTAACTTTTAATATGTTATAGAGATTGAGAATATGAATATTTTTAGTATTTATTTGAGTTTTTTTACTATCTAATTTTGAAAAAGTGGTGATTTTTATCGATTCAAAAGTTTTATTTTGACATCTAAAAATAATATTTTAGTTCAATTAAAGTTTCACAATATTGTTATATATGTTCTTTAATAAGTTTATTAATTTTTTAAAATGTGAATTTTTCTGCTAAGGTTTTCTATTACTTATTGTTAGGATATTTTGGTACTTTTAGAATTAAGTCTAATTAAGCTTTATTATCGATATGTGATTGACTAATAGCTTGTCACTATTTCTATTATAGTATTATGATAATAATGTGTGTGGAGAAAAATAAGTAAAGACTAATTATTCACTAACGTTGGCTAGAAATTGATTGACCTATAATAGTGAATCGATGAACTTTCCCTTAAACACTATAGTTTGATGTTATCCTCTTTTGATTCATGTGATATTGATTGAGAGTTATAAGGAGATGATTATTGTACCTACGGGCAAAGAGTGAAGATTCCTTTATCAAACCAATGATTTATTGGTACTAATTAATATGATATTAAAAAATCACCGATTAAGTTGGGACTTATTGCTTGCTTCGTCTGATTACTAAAATGCATGTTATTGAAGCATTATTTCTATTAATGTATGAATTTATTCTTACTATATGGATTTACTATTATTGTATTGTTTTATTGCTACTGCAACTAGTTTTATTGATACAGATATGAACAATGATACTATTATTAATACTACTACTGATTCACTATTGTTGTTATTATAATTGATTCACTATACTAATTATTGATACTGAGCACATGATATATAGAGCATATGATTAAAATTCTTATTTGATACTAATATAGAAAATGATAGCATGTATAAATCATTAATAAGGTTTTCTTACATTGATATACTTCTGAAAGTTCTTACCGATATTTTGGTTTTATCGCTTAATACAATTTTTTCACTAAGATGATTGTTTTATGTATTCTTAACCTGTAATAGTTTACAGTTGGTTTTCCCAACATATTGTTTTACTAGCTTCGTATTATACTATTTTATTTGTTATAGATTTTACTGTTACTACATAACTTTATTGCTCCATTGTCATGTGTATTTTACTATTTATGCATTGATTCATGATCATATTAATACTATTATTATGATTTGACTACTTTCATGCGATTTCTCCTTTGTCGTGCTTTCAGTCCAATCGTAGGATTTGGTTATTTTCTTGGCTCTTAAGCTTATCATATGTGATTAAATGT